TGTGTTTTTTTATTTTTATTTTTATAGGATTTCGGCCCTTTCCTGATTTACCGGGGAGAATTTGTACATAAGCTATCAGTTGGATATTGAACGTTATTGTCTCACATCAATCATTATCAGAGAATTTATTTTTTGTGTGTGAGAAGAAAGGATACTTGTAAAACACCAGACCAGCAAAATCTTACTGACTTATGAAGTTGCGGGAATGAAATCCACGAAAGTATCACAATGTACCCTATAGACAAAATCCCATTAATACTAAAACTAATTCTTTATTGTCTGTATGTGAAAACCGCATTCCTTTATTTAATCATTTCACCGCATGCAAGGCTGCATTAGCCACTAAAACACAGTGGGTTACATGGAATTAAAGTGAAAGAGAAGACTGAGAATAGGGAGGATTGAGGAAAGGCAAGACGATAAAGAAGATGGGATTTAAGAAGACGCAAGATGGCGAGTGATGTTACATATGAAGTTTTGAAGATTATAGTATTCAGAAGCAAGTAAACGGAAGGTAGTACCACAGGTGGGAAGTGCGAGAATGAAAATTTTATAGTGGAAATGCTGGTCTTCGACAAAAGTTGTATCCGCGTGATGTGCGGCTATACTTTTGACTATAGGGCGCCCAATGCTGATCTCGAAAATTGCGATATTGGTGGAATTAAGACATTCTTGGTGCAGTGACAACTTCGGTGGTCTGGTCATGTTGCAAGGAAGGGTGGAACAGACAGAATACCTAAAGTCCTCATGTATAGCCAGCTTGACAGAGGACAACAAACTGTTGGACGTCCGTGGCTCAGGTATAAAGGCAAACTAAAGTGTAACCTGACAGTAGTCAATACCAACTCCGGGCGAGTTGCCCCAAAATAGAAATAACTGTAGCTATTTGTGCCAGAGCTGTATCAGAAATTTCAAAATCAGTCATACTGAAAAAAAAAACAAAAAAAAAACAACGGTATGAAGCATCAGCAAATACGCCTGGGGTTATGTCCCAAGATCCTCGATGTTGCACAGTATGTATGCGTACATGCAGGTCATTAGCAGAACTGAAGTGTCGCATATGACACAAGCATAAAACTGAATGAGGTTCTCAGACCTTCACACGTCAAAATTAATAATATTGTCCATTATATATATATATATATATATATATATATATATATATATATATATATATATATATATATATATCACACACCTTGCAATAATCATAACAAAATGTTCTAACAAAAACTCAAAACAGCCACAAAAGAATTAAACAAACAATTCGAATATCATCATTAGTCAAGGTGTTAAACCTAATAGAGATAGATAGATAGATAGATAGATAGATAGATAGATAGATAGATAGATAGATAGATATGAACAGAATGAGGTAGATGGATATGAACAGAATGAGGTAGATGGATATGGACAGAATCAGATAGATAGATATGAACAGAATGAGGTAGATGGATATCAGTAGAATCAGATCGATAGATAAGAACAGAATGAGGTAATGGATATGAACAGAATGAGGTAGATGGATATGAACAGAATCAGATAGATAGATATGAACAGAATGAGGTAGATAGATATGAACAGAATGAGGTAGGATGGATATAAACAGAATTAGGTAGATGGATATGAACAGAATTAGGTAGATGGATATGAACAGAATCAGATCAATAGATATGAACAGAATGAGGTAATGGATATGAACAGAATAAGGTAGATGGATATGAACAGAATCAGATAGATATGAACAGAATGAGGTAGATGGATATGAACAGAATGAGATAGATAGTTATGAACAGAATGAGGTAGATGGATATGAACAGAATCAGATAGATATGAACAGAATGAGGTAATGGATATGAACAGAACGGGGTAGATAGATATGAACAGAATGAGGTAGATATGAACAAAATGAGATAAATAAATATGAATAGAATGAGATAGATATGAACATACCTGGTGTGATAGTAGGGATGAGCGGTCTCCATATACCATTGCCCAGCAGTGCATCCCGGAGATGCCACTTCAGTTTCAATACGAAAGGACTCAACAGGGAGCTACCTTTATCAAATGACATAAATGGATACCTAATATATATATATATATATATATATATATATATATATATATAAAATAAATAAATCCTAATGCTCAATATTAAGACATTTGAGCATTAATAATCATAAATGAAAGAAAGTCCTCTCTCGGATCAGAGTATCTTGGTATTACATGCACTGTTCAGGAGACTCCATTGTAAGAATTTAGATTTAGATCTTATGAACAGCTGATATATTTTCGTGAATCTCACAGTTATCCATTAATTTCATAACTTTATATCCCAGTTTCTTTCCGGTATATCTATCTATCTATCTATCTATCTATCTATCTGATATCACACATTATGAAATGGTCAAAGTCCGACAATTATTTTAAGACATTTTTATGTTTATACATTCTTTTTATAGATACAAATATTTAAGTAAATGCGGTGGTTATAATAAACAGTATTAAACAACAGGCCGGTAAATGGTGTTTAATACTTTTTATTATAAACAGTGCATTTACTTAAATATTTGTCTCTATAAAAAGAATGTATAAACATAAAAATGTCTTAAAAATATACATACCTATACACACACACACACACACACACACACATACTATATATATATATATATATATATATATATATATATATATATATATATATATGAAATACCCTGTCTGTCAAATCTAAACCAATTTAGTCTACCAATTTAGTTCTATCATACAAGAGTGTAGCATTAGATATACGTCGACAACGATAAGTAGAAGCGTGATAAACCACTTAAGTTATCTCTGTGCCATAAAAACACTCGGGCCGCTGTACACATTTGGCTGCACACGTTATTATTGTTGATAACGTTGTCATTCTAAAGAAATCTAATTGTAAAAGGCATCTTAAGATAATTGAAGCGATTTAAATGAAACAGTATAAGCCAAGCCACAATCTAACCCTATTCGACAACGATAGAAAATTGTAGTTCATTCCGCCACAAATATAGCCTTGTCATGCGGTCTTTTTGTGTGCGTGAAACAGGATGCTTGTAAAACCCCACAAAAAAAAAAACCTCTTACCGACTTATGAAGCCCGGGCTTTTTAAAACCACGAAAAGTATCACAATTTTCTTTACAGAAAAATTCCATTAAAAATAAAACTTATTCTTTATGGTCTGTATGTAAAAATCGTATTTTTAAAAAAAATTTTTGAATCATTTCACCCCAAGCAAGGTGTGACTGTCACTAGTGCGCAGGGTTTTTACGGAGTGAAAGTGAAAGAGAAGACAGAGAATAGGAAGAATTGAGGAGAAAACGGAAGATGGTAATTGATGTTGTATTTAAGTTTTTGAGTATCGTAGTTTTCAGGGAAGCAAGTGAAGGGAAGGGAAGGGAGTTATACAAGTGGAAAGTGCATGAAAAGAAGCTGTTGGAGTATTAGGGGCGGTTGCATTTAAGTATTTCAACAGTAAATACGCGGGACCTAGATTCCAAATTAGTAGCAAGCCTAAATTCATGTAGTCGAAGCAGCAGGGAAAAAATCTCGTCAGAGCAGTTGCCATAAACATATTTGTAGAAAAGACACAGAGAAGCCATGTTACGTCGGTTAGAAAGTCGGGATCCCAAATCAGGATCGATGACATTACAGATGCTTCATTATTTATTTGATATCCGACAGAAACCTACTCAATATATATTATTAGATATATATATATATATATATATATATATATATATATATATATATAAGTATAGGATTGGTGTATACGGAATGAATTTCAATAAACAACAAATACTATTCTTAAAAGAGTGCTCAGTACAGAGTAGAGCGGATATAATTATTTATTCGAAAATTATAACATAAATATGTTATGATATCACTAAAAAATAGCTATTTTGTTTCAACACTTCTGGTATCTTATCAAGTGATGATGTTGAAATAAGACACCAGAAGAATTGAAACAAAATGGATATTATTGTAGTGGTTTTATAATATATTTATGTTATAATTTTCGAATAAATAATTATATATATATATAATTATTTATTTAAAAATATGATTCCAACGCTACATAAGAGTTCTCATGTTTCAAAACAAGAGCCGAAAACTTCAATATAATTATTTGAATTAAATTGAATTAAAGTTCTAAGCTGATGTTCTATCTTCAAGCGAAATCTTTTTGGAATAACTTATTTCTGAAATTTACGCGTTTTATAAGCATATTCGTTATTGAAATTAAGATTACTATGGTAACGGCTAGAGCAATTGTTTAAGGAATAGAGGCGTAATGGTAAATAATTTGTATCAATATCTCAGTTACATTCACAGACGTCAAGTCAGGGTAAGGTTGAACCTTTATTTTTAAAATAAATTCTTTAAAAATATGGAAAAAATAAATTTCGGGATTTCTCTGAAGAACATTCCACAAACAAATTCTTTCCTATTTACTATATATTTTTACACACACACACACACACACGCACACACATATATATATATATATATATATATATATATATATATAGTTAAGTTATGAAGAACTTGGTAAACCGAATTGGTAAATCCAAGGAGGATGAAATCCTGAGAGCTCAATGTGAGGAACAGAGCTAATATTTAATGAAAAACAGACACTTTAAGGTACCATTACAATAATAAATTATGGTAATGGTGGATTTAAATATGTTTTTTCATTAAATTTATATATATATATATATATATATATATATATATATATATATATATATATATATATATATATATATATATATATATATATATATTAAATATGTTACCTTTGCAACATCGAAATAAGCAAATTTCATGAAAATATGTGTCCTTCGACAGGAATCGAACATGTATTCTACACAGAACAGATGTTTTTTCTGTAGCTAAATGGTATAGCACGTCAGGCTATAATGACGATTCCGTGTCCTATATATGTTCGATTCCTCTCGAAGGACATATCTTCTAGGGAATTTCTCGGACGTTCAGGTCAGTAAATGTAGTTAATACGGTTTATTATCAACAGAACACTTACTCCAATATTTTATATCTATAAAAATAACGTATATACAGGGGGAAAAAAGTATATATGACCTTTATTCATTCTTTTCTCATTAACAGACTGTTTCAAGCATATCAATGAGATTCTCATGTGTTTGATTTTTTTTTTTTTTTTTTTTTTGCTGCCGGCTTGTACTGTTATTTTTCCCGCTTCTCAATCGGAATGCGTCAGCGTGCCGACGCTTCGAAATTCCATACATTTGATTTAATAATTATTGATTTCTATGATTTTCAGCTTCTCCAATCATTTATTACAATGTCTTCCTCTGTTTTTCTTCATCTTTTATTTCTATTCTGATGTTGACGTTATCCCTTTCTCTTTTAGTTTAAAATAAAACTAAATGAGGTAAATATAGATAGATCCATAAATAGATATATAGGGCCATGAAACATATATCTATCTGCCTATATCTATCTATCTATCTATCTATCTATCTATCTATCTATCTATCTATCTATTCGGTGCGATGAGAACGAAAGTAATATATTAGGTTGGTGCAAAAATAATGACGTAATAATGTCGTTTTGTGACGTATTTTTAACGTCAAAAACGACATTATTACGTCATTATTTTTGCACCAACCTAATATAAATTCCAACGTTCACAGCATTAATCCAAAAGAGGGCTCGATACCGATAGTAGGGCAATAATTATTTATTTATTATAATTTTATCATATAGACAAAACCATTTTACTCATTACAAAGATGCAACTTGGTTTCAGTGCATTTCAACTGCACTTTGACGGTTGACAATCGAAAATGGTTGTGAAAGTTCCTGCTTGTAGGCAAGCCGTATATTTTCTTTTATGTAAATTTTTCTTCTTAAACAAATGGAAAAAAGGAAGTGACGTTTCACATACGGCTTGCCTACAAGCAGGATTGTTCATGCTTACATTGTTGTTTCGTCCGTTGTTGTTTGATTTATTGAAATTGTCATCTTTGAAAAGGGCTTATGTTAGCCGAAAGCTTAGATTGGATTTAAACATGTATCAATATGGTGATTTCCTTTCATCTTTCAATGATAATGTGATTAAGCTTATCAGACAATATGAAAGGAACTTACTTAAAATAAATAGACAAATGTTGTCTATATTATTTAATGAAACATACATTAATGAAAAATTGCTGCCTAAATATATATATATGTGTGTGTGTGTCTGTGCGCGAGCGCACAAACACAATTGACTAAAAAGAAGTAACACCAACAATTTCTGGCTGTTTAAGGCCTTTGCAATCAACATTGTTTGGATAAATACATGTTGACTAAATATACTTTATTTATATACGATTATATATACTTATATAGATAAATATTTATTATTCATGTTAATAGCTATCTATCTATCCTTTCTGTCTTTCTCTCTAGGTTTGATCACAGATATATACTTTATCCCTATATACCTCTGTATATTCAAATCTATCTATCTATCTATCTATCTATCTATCTATCTATCTATCTATCTGTCGCTGATCTATTTACGTAAAGTAATATCCGAATTGATGACCGTTCTAGGTATGACGATAAACTACGTCCACGTCCTGGGTAAGACGATAAACTACATCCGAGAGCAAGGAGGTTTTTAGGTACAGCATCACCCGGGATTTTAGCACCTATTAGGGCTATGAGCAAATAGTTAACCTCCAATAGTGGTCAAAGCACTGTGAATGTATAAAAATACGTTTTAGTGCCAGCAATACAGTTTGGGAAAAATCCTTACCAGCTGTACATTTTTGAAAAAGAAAAATATAACTACGAATGCATAATTTAAATATATATATATATATATATATATATATATTAAGGAGGCACGGTGGAGCAGTGGTTAGCCGAGTTCGAATTCCAGTCGAATCCACTGCATTCACTTACGTGCTAATACCCTTGGGAAAGGTATGTATCCTCTTCATCTCCCTCCAGCTATGGGTAAAATAGCAGGACAGACTGGGTTCTATAGCCTTGGATGGCAACTGGTCTAGGAGAAGGACAACTCTGAATTCAAAACCTGCGGAGTGTCGTTTGGGAACCTTGTGGCATGCATTCGGTGCACCAGGTTTCTGTATTCGTCCCTCCAAAAAGTGTGGCTGGTCCTGCACAAGGCCTTCACCACTATAAACAAATCTCATGTGCCGGTGTCGGGATGTCGGTTCCTGGGGACTTATCGGCCTTATCGAGCGCGACGGGAGAGTCGATTATATATTATATATATATATATATATATATATATATATATATATATATATATATATATATTTACCACTAATACATTTCTGAAAAATATTACCAGGAATAAAAATCATGTTCGGTATTAAATAACTCATTGATGCTGATATGCTGTAAAAACCAAAACAAAAAACGAATTGATGACCTCCGCTGTTTACTGTATTCCCTATCACTCTTCGACTACATAACTCATTTTAAGAGAAAATGTCTTCTTTTGCAGGAGTCATTGAAATGTACTTTCTTGAATTTTTGAACGTCTTCATGTAGCGTTTCAAAATGTTTCCATTTCTGTTCGGAGAATTATTCTTATTTTTTTGCTTTTTCCTGAAACCTGCGCAAGCAATTAAGAAAAAAATTAAGACCAACTAAAAAAGTGGTAAAAGATTTTGAAACACTTTTGCTTAGAACGTGAACTGATCGAAAACCTTACGCGCGTAAATAAACAAACATACTCATGTGGAAACAAACACACCTGCGAAAACACGCACATGCCGAAACAAATCAAGCAGAGAGAGAGAGCGAGCGAGAGAGAGAGAGAGAGAGAGCTCTTCTGCTGATATAGTGTAAGATATTTAATAAGAAAAATAATAAAAAAAAACATAAATAAACAGAAGCTAAATAAAAGTGGTGGTCAGACAGCGGTTCGCATGCCACCTGCGCCAATTCGACCTTTAATATGCGGCTAATGGAAATATGTTGGCTGAGTTCCTTGTTTCATCATAGTTAATACAGAAGGCAAATAAGAAAAAATGTCAAGCTTTATAATTATTTCCTGAGTATGAATTGAGACCCCATTGGATTAAATCGTAAGTATAATCTTCATGGGCATTTTGAGTTATTCATCTAGAAAGAGAACAGGTTTAAATCATTTTGCCGTCCTGGGTATGACGATAAACTATATTCCAGTCAATTTTCACTAGGATATAAGCTTGTCAATGAAAGACAATTTATCAGGAGGCTAGAATTAAGAGACTGTCATATCCACCACACAAAAAACATTTTTCTTTAAATATAGATATCACATCGGTAGACATACTTATGATTTCTCATGTTTACTCTGCATATATGTAAGTCATAGACAAGACGGCGGCTCTTTTTTCACATGCGGCTCTTTAGCCTTTAATATGCGGCTCGCGGAAATATGTTGCCTTGGCTCCATTTTTTGTCACAGTTAATATAAAAGGTGAATAAGGAAAATTCAAGCTTTATAATTATTTACTGACTGTCAAATCCACCACACAAAAACAATTTGAAAACATTTTTCTTTCATTATAGATATCGCATCGGAAGATATACATATAACTTCAGATGTTTATTATGCAGAAATATAAGTAGTCATAAACCAGACCGAGGTTCGTGAGCCACAAGCGACTCTTTGACCTTAATTATGCCGCTTGTGGAAATATGTTGGCTAAGATCTTTATTTTCATCACAGTTAATAGAAAAGAAAAAATAAGAAAAATTTCAATATTTATAATTATTTACTGGGCATGAGTTAAGGCCTCATTAAATTAAAACCTAAATTTAATGATAATGTGTATGTAACAGAAATGTATGTGTAAATTTTGTTCATGTCTTGTGGCTCTCAAACATCTGCACTTTATCGTAAGTGGCTCTTATATTAAGTAAGTTTGGCCAACCCTGCAATCGACGGAGAATGTGAGCAACGAGAAATAATTATGAAAAATGCAAACAGAAAGGAATACTTAGAATCAGAATAAGACTGTCAAATCCACCACACAAAAACATTTTGAAAACTTTGGCCTTTAATATGCTGTTCAAGGAAATATTTTGGCTGAGTTTTTTTTTTCTTCCGTGAGTGCTGATTTAAAAGGTAAATAAGAAAACTTCAAGCTTTATAATTATTTACAGGTTATGAATGGAGACCCCATTGAAATGAAACGTAATTTAAAGTTAATGAGTATGTAACAAAAACGAATGCGTAAATTTTCTTCATGTCTTGCTGTTCTCAAACATCTGATCTTTATCATATGTGGCTCTTACATTCAGCAAGTCTGGCGTTAGATTGGGAGATTGGGGGCTTTGTGTAGCGTAGAACCACCTCTGAATTGACCTTTAATATGCGGCTCGTAGAAATATTTTATCGTATGTGCCACTTACATTAAAAAAAAGTTTGACCAACTCTGTCTAAGATTTTCAGTTTCTTGGAGAAAAACCATATATTCTTAGGTGATCAACAGCAGATCATTTTGTTTCTTTTTCTTTTATTAAACAAGATAAGTACGTTAAAACATCGGTCATGATGACTTGTAACTTCATGCTAGCACAACAATCAACGTCTTTCAAACGGTACCGCCCAGCCAATTTCCCTCAACCCGCAGTAATGTTTTCTGGCCCTTCCCAAAGGTGCCTCACGTTGGAATCGCCTGCTCCAGGCAGGAACAGAATAAAAAAAAAACATGTTCCAGAACACAGGGGTTCAAACCACGGCTTGCAAGCGACATGCAGCAATTTGACCTTTAACATGCTGTTAGTGGAAATATGTTGTCTGAGCTCCTTTTTTCATTACAGATAATATAAAAAGTGAATAAGAAAAAAATCAAGCTTTATAATAATTTACTGGATAGGAATTGGGACCCCATTGGGTTTAAAAAGTTGTTCATGGTTAGTAAAACATATTTAAGAATTTAAATCCTATTTTTAATAGTAGATCTGTGTGAGACATTGTTCATGAGTACTGAAGGAAGGAATGGTGGCAGGTAGATAGATTAAAGAAATGTCCAGCCGGTAAAGGTTACAGAGGAAGGCCAGAAGACAGAGGTCATGGGTAAGACGATTAAGGAGACCGTACTCACGTCATGTACATATATAATTTTATTTTACTAAAATGCAAATTTGCACATTTTTCTTAGAAGTTCCCATAGTTCATTACTCTATTAAATACACTCAATATAGTTAAGACAATCATCAGTCAAGATTTTGAAAACTTTTAGCATATATGTGTGTACTTTGTAACGTATGGCCATTAGCAAAGAATTTGTTGCGAGATAAACAGGAAATGTGCGACAACATGCTGGCCAGGATTTATACCAAAGAAATGTTTTAGCGAAGATAAAATTGCATTCAATCGAACAAGAATTGGTTGGCTCATATATATATATCCAAAGGACTTAGATATCATTTCTGAGGAATTAATCAATTTTATTTTTCAAAGATTCTCATACATTGTAAGGCCGTATATCAGAAGTGGTGAAACTGCGAGCCACATGCGACTCTTTGACCTTTAATATGTGACCCATGGAAATATGTTGGCTGAGCTCCGTTTTTTATTACAGATAATATAAAAGGTAAATAAGAAAAAATTCAAGGTTTATAATTATTTACTGGGCATGAATTTGAGATCCCGTTGGATTATAACATAAGCTTAATGTTCATTGTTAGTAAAAATATTTAAGAATTTAAATTCTATTTTAATGCTTGATCTATGTGAGACATTATTCTTTAGTGCTGAGTTAAGAAATGGTGGGCGGTAAAGAGATTAAAGAAATTTCCAGCTAGTAAAGGTTACAAAAGGAATGTCAGAAGACTGAGGTCATGGGTAAGACGATTAAGGAGACCACACTCACGTCATACATTGTATGGCCGTATATCAAAAGTGATGAAATGGTGGCTTGCAAGCCACATGCAACTCTTTGACCTTTAATATGGGACCCATGGAAATATGTTGTCTGAGATCCGTTTTTCATTCAATATAAAAGGTAAATAAGAAAAAAAATAAGCTTTATAATTATTTACTGGGCATGAATTTGAGATTCCGTTGGATTAAAACATAAGCTTAATGTTCATTGTTAGTAAAAAAATATTTAAGAATTTATAATTATTTACTAGGTATGAATTGAGACCCCATTGGGTTTAAATGTTGTTCATGGTTAGTAAAAAATATGTAAGAATTTAAATCCTATTTTTAATGTTAGATCTGTGCGAGACATTGTTCTTTAGTGCTGAGTGAATGAATGGTGGGCGGTAAAGAGATTAAAGGAATTTCCAGCCAGTAAAGGTTACAGAGGAATGTCCTAAGACAGAGGTCAATGATAAGAAGATTAAGGAGGCCGGACTCACGTCATGTACATATGTAATTTTATTTTACTAAAATGCAAATTCGTGCATTTTTCTTACGAGTTTCCGTAGTTTCTTACCATATTAAATACACTCAATATAGTTAAAACAATAATCACTCAAGATTTTTAAACATTTGGTATATATATATATATATATATATATATATATATATATATATATATATATATATATATATATATATATATGTCCAATTAAACTGACGGCATAAGTCAAAGTTGACCAAACCGCGGTTCGCGAACCACATGCGGCTCTTTTGACCTTTAATATTCGGCTCGTGGAAATGTTGGCTGAGTTCCTTTTCTCATTATAGTTAATATAAAACGTAAATAAGAACAAATTCCAGCTTTATAATTATTTACTAGGTATGAATTGAGACCCTATTGGGTTTTAAAAAGTTGTTCATGGTTAGTAAAAGATATTGAAGAATTTAAATCCTAATTTTAATGCTAGCTCTGTGTGAGACATTGTTCTTGAATGCCGAGGAAAGGAATGGTGGGAGGTTGAGAGATTAAAGAAATCTCCAGCGTAGAACCCAAGTTTATCACAATATCCCTTTAGCAGGGAAATTTTGGTAGAATAACTTCTACCATTGTTTCTGTCTAAATATTTACAAACCTATTAAGAATTCCATTCTTTTGCTGATGTTCTCATTTGACCTTAGCATGTGTACATCTCGTATGCATATATCAGGGGTGACCAAACCGCGGCTTCCGTTCCACATGCGGCTCTTTGACCTTTAATTTGCGGCTCGTGAAAATATATTGCTGAGCTCTTTTTTTCATCACAGTTAATATAAAAGGTAAACAAGAAAAATGTCAAGCTTTATAATTATTTACTGGATATGAATTGAGATCCGAGTGGATTAAAACGTAAGTTTAATAGTAATGTGTATATAACAAAAACGTATGTGTAAATTTTGTTCATGTCTTACGACTTTCGGTTACATTCACTTACGTGCTAACACCCTTGGGAAAGGTGTGAATCCTCTTCTCCCTCCAGCTATGGGTAAATAGCAGGACACACTGGGTTCTATAGCCTTGGATGGCAACTGGTCTAGGAGAAGGAAAACTCTGAATTTAAACCTGCTTTTAGAGAGGAGGGTGAATGGAGTCTCTCTGAGCCTTGGTTGGCAATCCATTTTGTGATGGTGTCACGATAAAAACACCCTTGATAGCCCTAGCGAAGCATCAAGAATTCAGCTATTTGACAAGATTATGAACTACACCAATCAAAGTATTGGTGAGTTCTGAGGCCGCAAGATGATGATGATGATGACATTAAGCAAGTATGGCGTCAGTACATTAAAGAAATGTAAGTTCCACTCAAGCAGCTTCATATAACCGACTCCCAAGTGATTGCTTCTCCGATCTTGACCGCTTCAAGTCTAGGGTTAACTGTTATATTCCACATATATCTGCATAAGCCGTGCCTCTTATTCCGTAACCTTCGGTCTATCTACAGGATGAACACCACTGTAAAAAAATCTATAACTACCTTCCTAAAGCTTACATATTTCGGTGTTTACAAAGTCTCCCATCGGCCTTGGCGTAGGACCCAAGTTTATCACTATATCCCACTAGCAGGGCGATATTGGTAGAGTAACTTCTACCATTGTTTTTGTCTAAATATTTACAAACCTATTAAGAATTCCATTCTCTTGCTTATATTCTCATGTGATCTTAGCTTGTGCACATCTTGTATGCATATATCAGGGGTGGCCAAACCGCGGCTCTCGTTCCACATGCCGCTCTTTGACCTTTAATATGCGGCTCGTGGAAATATGTTGCTGTGCTCCTTTTTTCATCACAGTTAATATAAAAGGTAAATAAGAAAAAAAAAATGTCACGCTTTATAATTATTTACTAGGCATGAATTGAGACCCGATTGGATTAAGACGTAACTTTAATGTTAATGTGTATTTTGAGTCATTCATCTAAAAAGAGAACAGGTTTACATCATTTTGCCGTCCTGTGACGATAAACTACATCCGCGTCCCAGGTAAGACGATAAACTACATCCGCGTCCCAGGTAAGACGATAAATTACATCCGACAGCAAGGCCTCTGATAAATGGGAGCGTGGAACCAACTCTTAATTGCTGGTGTTCCCAGATCCACTCGGAGTCGCGATGGTAGCACCTGTTAGGGGTCCAGGCTATGGGTACATAGTTAACCCCAAACTTGTGTCAAAACACTATAAATGTTTAAAAATAGCTTTTTTTTTATATACCCACAATACTTTTTTCGGGGGGAAAAATATTAGTAGCAACATATTTTTTGAAAAAAATATTACAAGAAATAATTTTTTGAAAAAGAAAATATTACCAGAAAGACCTTACTAGCAATAAAAATCTTGTCGGCATTAAATAACCCATTGAGGTTGATATGCCGTAAAACTAAGCAAACCAAAATTAAATTATTTTGTGTCAGCCCCACTGTCTTGTCAACTGAGCAATGCTGAGAGGGAAAAAAGATCGTGCAGACCTTCAATAATGGTACCAATATTCATACTATGACTTCCATCTTCAAAGTCTTTTCAAGAACCATCAAGCGAATGGGGAATCAGTTTACTGGAACACGGTTTGGACAATTTTGCTGTTACAGCCGGTATATATTTGGAGATATATGCGTGAGTGTATGCATATGCATATATCTTGGCGCGTGGGTGTGAATGTCTGCATATCTGAAAGACATAAAGTGAAGCGTTCTCTTCAAAAGAAATCGCCATATTTTTTTTCTTAACAAAGCTATATCTACGGAAGATTTTATGCAGAAAAACGTGCGCAATTCAATTCTGAATAGAATCAGTAGCAGACAAACTCAAGAAAGATTGCTTATGCCCTCAACAAAGAACATATATCAAAATGTTGTGCCATTATATGAAAAAACAAACAGCAACAAAAAAAAAAACGAATGAACATGCACAATTTTAATGCAGACTTTGCAAAAATCTTCTTAGTGCAAAATACGCTGACATCTTTGCCGTTATTCAATGCAAATGGCATGGCGAAAGCACTTAACAACAGCATAAGAAATACATTTGAAAAGCGAGAAAAATAATCATAGCCATTTATAATGCATATTTAGAATATAGCGCTTTTTCTTATATACCAATATCTATCTATCTATCTATCTATCTATCTATCTATCTCTTTTTGTTCATATCTATCTGTCGATTTCAGTGTTTTCTTATCTGTGTATCTATCTCAGAGTATTTATAACTATCTACTCCTGTGCATTCATAACTATCTCACCCAATGTATTCATATCTATCTATCTATCTATCTATCTATCTATCTATCTATATATATATATATATATATATATATATGTATATGTCTTAGCCTGCTCATATCAAACTGAAGATTTCAAACTTTTTGTATCTATGTATCTATCTCAGTGTCTTTATATCTATCTAACCCAGTGCATTGATATATATATCTCCCAATTTATTCATTATCTATCTATCTATCTATCTATCTATCTATCTATCTATCTATCTATCTATCTCTCTCTCTCTCTCTCTCTCTCTATATATATATATATATATATATATATATATATGTATGTGTGTTTACGCTGATGCGATTACGCATGCGTAAGAACGAAAGGGAGATGCTGATAATTTTAAATTTAACTTACTTTTTAATGTTTTCAGTATATAATCTCGACGATTTCATTTAAATTCTTTTTTCTTTATGTTTTAGTTTCCATCACATTTATCTTTTTATTAAATATCCCACACTGTGATAACACATTTGCCAAGAATGGTGAAGCGTTGTAAGAATCTAAACGAAAATTGACTAAAGGTGATCTAGCGATTAAATCACTTTCTATATGTTTTCATCTTCGTAAATAGTTTTTTTTTATTTTAATTGGAAAAGCATTTATATTATTCGAACTATTGTCCTCATCTTTGTCGCCATATCTATTAAAACGTTTCGGCCGTTGTACCCTCCGACCTTCTTCAGGTGGTTGGAATGTCGAACTGAACCCTTTATTTCGCTCACTGGGGTAGACTGTTCTAGTTCCACGTGCCATGTTTTTTAATGGATATCAGTTATCAGTTATCGCCTGTTAATTCCCCTCTCCAAGTTCTCCACTGCCTTACCCGGATATTGAACTCACACTTTTTGGGTCCTGTCACTGGATCTAACCAATGCCTTTATCCACTGTGCCATGTGTCCTTGAGGACACATGGCACAGTGGATAAAGGCGTTGGTGTGCACTTTAAAAAATTTATGACTTTATTTGTATTTGCTATAGAAATAATTTGTAAAAAGGATTAGAAAGAAAGAAATCTATATTTTGCCAGGTTTTATTGAAATTTTATTTAAGTTTCCACATGTCCTCCATCATTAGCAATATAAAGTGTAAAATGATTTTGCAGTTCACTGAAAACATTTGCCAACTGATTTACAGTAATGCCTGAAATCACATTAGTTATTTTAACTTTCAAATCTTCTAATGAACAAGGTTTGGTTGCATACACAATAGCTTTCACATGTTTCCATAAAAAAATCTAATGCAGTCAAATCTGGCGAACGTGGAGGCCAATAAAATGGTCCACCCCTTCTGTTAGGAAATTCTTGATTTAGAAACTCTCTAACAGGCAGAGCAAAGTGACAAAGAGTTCCATCTTGTTGAATCACTGTATTATGACATTTTTTTATAGATTATTTCTATCGCAAATACAAATAAAGTGTTGTGGATTCCGGGGATGGAATCCTGCACAAATAAATAAACAACGCCAGTAATTGAAATAGAAAAATATGTGTATGAAACGTAATAATACAAACTTGAAATGAAGATTAGTAGTCCAGGAATGCGGGTTAGTAGAAAAGTATATGTACAAGTCTCTGTAAATGAAGCCGTAATTATCTCTCTTTCTGGACTCTCGTATAACTCCGAGTGAACACCCTGTCTCGACGTCTTTGTCACGCTATCTCTCCGTAGTATAAGTATACTTTGGACGAGTCCATCTTGTGTACAAGGGGCAAGCCCCACAACATAAAATTATAATTTTTTTAAAATGCACACGAACTTTATGGACACCCTGTATAAGAGTATCCACTAAAAATAACGTTCAAAGTGATAAAACATGTCGGATTAATATATAAGAAATCCATTACTTCTTTAAGTATAAGTGTTCATTTTGTTTCCTTTGTCGTTGCTCACATGTTCGGTCGGTGGAATTCTTCAGTAGAATTCTGTAGAACCACATCTATATTGCGTTAAGACCGTTCTTCATCTGGTCGGAGATTTTCCAAAATATCGTTCCATATAGGAGAAATGATATTTCGAAAGAGTTCAGTTTTTCTTTGTTTCTAACGAATGTTGCTGACCCCTGTTCTAGGCGATTAGAAGATGAACAGGGATTTTGCCCCTTTTTTTTTGCCTGTTTCATTTTAAAAAAATACAATATTTAAATTGATAAAATTAGATATTTTTTAATTCATTCAAAAAATACGGGGAAGATTGAATTCACTCGTCTTTTTTTATTGTTCTTTCCCTCGATAAAATTTTAAATAATGTTTAATCTTTTTTTTTTTTTTTAATTAATTATTTTCTAATCAATGTATGAAAAAAAAATAGGCTCTGTCAAGAGAGTTCGGCTCCATTCTCTCCGCTAATATCCAGTTTCAGCCAAATAATTTTTCACATCATTGTGTTACGTGATACATGCTTGGTGAATATCCGGGTGATTAAGCAAAAGATTATAAAAAACTGAATTCCTTAAAAAAAAAAAAAAAAAAAAAAGCATGATTTAAAATCCATTTCTCGGCACACATTCAGAATGCGAGACAAGCTAAGTATCGTTTAACGAAAGAGAACAAATACGCAATCAAAGGTCAAAGATCAGAGAAAAACACTTTAAAAAAAAAAAGAAATTAAAAATAATTTCTTATAAACAAAAAAAATCTTTTTGTAATGGAGGAGTGTAATAAATTTTAATAGAAAAATTGATTATTCCTTGGGCAACTGGAACTTGCAATCAAACAATTAAGACATCTTCGCTAAAACTTAAAATTTTGGGATGTATCAAAAATATTTTTATCAGTTGAATTTTGTACGCGTATAAGAAAAAAAAAATTTCGTTTGAAACAAAGAAAGATTGCGATCAGTCTTAGTATATGCCAGTTAATGTTGGACAATCTCATCAAAGATGCCAGAGAATGTCGATGAAACAGAAATGTGGTTCTATGAGAAGAGCTTTGTCCATTTAGATTTTTTGTTTGTTTTATTATTAATATTAATATTTTGTTAATAGATGTCTATTATTTAAGTGGAATCAAATGTGATTATAATATAAATGCAGGAAAAAAAGTAATTAATAATAATAATGAAAATCTCACGATTACAGCCCACACATTACGAAGGGTTTTTATCTGTGTAAAATATGTGTGTGTATTTAATAGATCAGTGGAAAATGTCATAACGCCATTTCTAACCTTAGGTCTCTGGGCGGGACCCGGAAAGAAATGTGTACACACCAGAAATCAAAGGAAATAATAATAATAATAATAATAATAATAATAATAATAATAATAATTATATATACATACATACTGAAAACTTGTGTTAGCCCCAAATGCAGATTATGTGGACAAACAGTTGACCATCTTGTATCAGGTTGCGTGGTATTGGTAGCAGCTGATTGTAAAACTCTGCATTGGAAAATCTGGAAGGAAGGAAATGTGTATACAACAGAAGAAGAAGAAGAAATAATAATAATAATAATAATAATAATAATAAATAATAATAATAATATTAATAATAATAAATAATAATAATGAATAATAATAATAAATAATAATAATAATAATAAATAGTAAATAATAATAATAAATAATAATAATAAATAATAATAGTAAATAAATAATAATAATAATAAATAATAATAAAAATAATAATAATAATAAATAATAATATTAAATAATAATAATAAATAATAATAATAATAATAAATAATAATAATAAAATAATAATAATAAATAATAAATAATAATAATAATAAATAGTAAATAATAATAATAAATAATAATAATAAATAATAATAATAAATAATAATAATAATAAATAATAAATAATAATAAATAATAATAAATATAATAATAATAATAAATAATAATAATAAATAATAATAAATAAAATAATAATAAATAATAATAATAAATAATAATAAATAATAATAATAAATAATAATAATAAATAATAAATAATAATAAATAATAATAATAATAAATAATAATAATAAATAATAATAGTAAATAATAATAATAAAATAGTAATAAATAAAAGAAGAAAGAAAGAAAGAAATTGGTATGAACACCACCAAGACCCGGGTTATGGAAATAGGATCTGTTACAATGTTATGGGAATACACAATACACACAGACAGAACACTCAAAAGCTAAGTGCCCATACATTGTTATTAGAGACCGTAAACAACAACAAAAAAAAAACTGTGCCTCCTTATTGATACGGTAGTCCCTGCTGATTGCAATGTATCTTTAAAGATCTTCAAAAAACTATCAAAATACAAGGACCTTTAAATCGAAATCTCAAAATTGTGACACATGGGAACATCAACAATCCATGTTTTAATCGGAGCCCTCGGATTGCTTGGAAAAGATTCCAGTAGATTAATTGAAGGGATTCCTGGAATCCCGTGCCTTAAAGAAATACGAAAAATTGTTCTCACAAGTAAAGCCCACACCTTACGAAGGGCTTTATCTATGTAATTTCTTTTTGTGTGTGTGTCAGTGGAAAATCTCATGATGCTATTTCTGACCTTAGGTCTCTGGGCGGGACCCGGAACGAAATGTGTAGACACCAGAAATCAAAGGAAATAATAATAATAATAATAATAGAAGAAAAGAATAAAAAGGAAAGGAAAATATGATATTAATCTAAAGAACGAGAACAGATTTTTCTTTATGTGCGGTGTCCCCTCAGAACGTAGGCGATCATGGCTCTCCACGATTTCCTGTCTTTGTAGCTCTTAATAAATGTTGTCTTTTCGTTATTTTTCCTAAACCCTGTTCTGTCATCCATTTCCACAAGCTCATTAAGTACGTAATGCGATCTTCTTCTCTGCGCTCTTGCCATCTTGTGAGTATCAGATTTTCCAAACCCTCCTTCCTCTTTGTGTGTTCAACTGTCTCTTCCTGATATTATGTATGAGCTTACATTTTACGAAAACTGATCAATGGGAGATGTCACGAAGATAATTCTGATATTATGACTGTCGTTGGGACCAGGAAGGAAATGTGTATAGAACAGAAACCCAAGGAAATGCTAGCATGCTAGTTAACATTCGTGTCAGTCAGCTATTGGCTTTCACTCTGGCCAGTAGAAAATGGCCGCAAACTACATGAAAACTGCCGTAGAAGCATGAAAAAATGGATTATTTCCACTATCGATGTGAGTTGGGAAATGCAAAGTCGGTCTTGGAATTGCCACTAACTTGGAGCATGTCCATGTAAACTTTGGTGCAAATCCGTCGAAAATGGCGGCCGTGATTCGTTACACACACACACACACACACACGCACACACACACAACACACACACACACGCA